TCTTTACATATTCAAAATAATATAAAAACAATAACTAAAAATAAAAAATGTCGAAGAACTTAACTTACTCTCTCCTTTCTTGGTTAGAGGACATTCGCTTAGAGATTTGATTTTTTTTTTCTAAAAATTTATTTGTTATTTCGGCATTTTCACTGGTTTACTCGAATAGAGTTGCGTCCCATTGGAGAAAGGACGAATGAAAGTATGCTTATGTAGAATACATAAAAATATATCCAGCAACAGGAAGATATATATTTTTATGCTTGTTGATGTAAAATAGAATGGAAAATACATAGTAGAAACTAGAAAGTAGAGAGTAAAAAAGGGTTACAAAGAATGTCCTTGAATTACTTATGCGCCACTACCAAGGAAACCGGAGATAATGAACAAGCTGACGAGCAGAAAAAAGCAGCTAGAAACAAAGGAACAACACACACACCCACTAACATAAGCCTAAGAACCAGCAGGAAGACAACGAGGATAATAATGGAGAACAAAATGAATTGCAATGAATTGTTACAAATTTATAAACGCACCTCACACCACTCCACCAGACCTACGAGTACAAAGCCATACGCAATAGTATGTAAATAATTCCACCCATAAACTGCAATGTCGATGAGGGCAATGGCCAACCAACAGCCGAAGCCTGTGCGAATGCAAAGGCATGAGGAATTGGAAAAAAGCAAATTCTTTTGCATAAAAAATTGCCAAGCAAAAATCCTTGAAGCGAAAGAGCGTAAGAATTAAAATGCTGACAAAATGCGTACTGACATCAACGAGTGACGACAATTGCAACAACAAACCCAACAAAAAAATAGATGGAATATATTGTAATATTAAAGGAGTAAGGATGGCATAAAAGCAACGACTGCAGAAAAGGGCAGAATTACAATTTTTATAAATTTAAATGTAGGCAATTTGTTACGGTCGCCGCACGGAAATGTCGCCAACTGTAAGGAGTGGCGAGAAATCAGAGTTTCTAAAGGACGCAAGTCATAAGCTGAACTAGAAGAAAGGCGCAAGGAGAAAAGGACGAAAAGGTTGTTTAATTTAAGAAATTAAGCCACTTGTCCACCACGTCTTGGTCAATAACAACAACAGTGACAAGGAAAGTGGCGGTGGCAGACGAAGAAAATAGCACACGCAGCTTGTGGTTGAGTAAATGTGGACAATATGGCAGCAATGGTGGTGAGAGATTTCTTCAAATTAATTATTCAAAGGAACAGAGAAATTTCATAAACGTTAAAAAAACATTTATTTTATTAAATCTACTCAATTCTACTCAATTTCATTGAAAGTATTCTATTAGAATTTTTCGATCTTTTTGTATCATATTTATTTTCTAAATATTTTGCTTCATTTTTCTTTCCTTTGATTATTTTATTTTAAATTATACTTTTATACTAATGTTTCAAATTTTATTAATCTATTTAACTTATCATTATTATATTTTATTTAATATTATTATTTAATTTTTTAATTTTTCTTAATTATCTTTTTTTGTTTTAAATTTCTTTTTTCTTTTAAAAGTTTTTTAATTTATTTAATTTTCTTAAATTTCATTTAACTTAAATTTATTTATTTTATTTTAATTCTTTTCATTTTTTTTTTTTATTTTATTTTATTTTATTTTATTTTATTTTATTTTATTTTATTTTATTTTATTTTATTTTATTTTATTTTATTTTATTTTATTTTATTTTATTTTATTTTATTTTATTTTATTTTATTTTATTTTATTTTATTTTATTTTATTTTATTTTATTTTATTTTATTTTATTTTATTTTATTTTATTTTATTTTATTTTATTTTATTTTATTTTATTTTATTTTATTTTATTTTATTTTATTTTATTTTATTTTATTTTATTTTATTTTATTTTATTTTATTTTATTTTATTTTATTTTATTTTATTTTATTTTATTTTATTTTATTTTATTTTATTTTATTTTATTTTATTTTATTTTATTTTATTTTATTTTATTTTATTTTATTTTATTTTATTTTATTTTATTTTATTTTATTTTATTTTATTTTATTTTATTTTATTTTATTTTATTTTATTTTATTTTATTTTATTTTATTTTATTTTATTTTATTTTATTTTATTTTATTTTATTTTATTTTATTTTATTTTATTTTATTTTATTTTATTTTATTTTATTTTATTTTATTTTATTTTATTTTATTTTATTTTATTTTATTTTATTTTATTTTATTTTATTTTATTTTATTTTATTTTATTTTATTTTATTTTATTTTATTTTATTTTATTTTATTTTATTTTATTTTATTTTATTTTATTTTATTTTATTTTATTTTATTTTATTTTATTTTATTTTATTTTATTTTATTTTATTTTATTTTATTTTAATTTATTTTATTTTATTTTATTTTATTTTATTTTTTATTTCATTTTATTTTAATATAATATATTTCATATTAATAATTTTTTTATTTTACTTTCTTATAATTTTATTTTGTTCAATGTTATTTTATTATATTTTTTTAATATTTTTTTATATTATTTATTTTATTTTAACTGGCTTTCTTGTAAATTTTTTGTCATATGATTGAAGAGTTGGAAATGGTAGCTCGAAAGACAAAGCGAAATAAATAAATAAATAAATTCTTAGCATTTACATACAACCATTCCTACAATAAAAAACAAATGACACGCAAATTTATGTCAGAAAAGAAAAATATTAGGTTTTTGTGTCATAAATGACATAATTTTATGCTACAACAAAGCATAAATTTAAGATGAAGCGTCACGAAGCATCACTAACACTCAACTATACCCTCCCATATATAAGTACTGCTAATATACATGAGCACACATACAAGCATCTATGTATAAGCAAGCATAAATGAAACTTCATGCACAACCCACATCAACCTTCATACAACCTCATGCCATCTGGGTCCTTGAACGTACGCGTTAGACGCTGGTCATTTGAAGCGTCCCTCGACTTTGCGTTTTTATTTTTCTTTTGTTTTGCTGCATAATAAAGAGTTTGTAATAAATTTTCTCCACCGTTAGCGTGTTCAACAAGCTCTACAACTAGCATTACTCGCATACTTAGCTAGCTACTATTTTACATACAATAACTACATATATTTATGTATCTCATATAAAACAAACAAACAGAATACACAAATACATAAATATTTACATACATTTTCTTCGTTTTCGGTTGATATCTTCTTTCAGTTTCATTCCTTTTCATTACACAGCGCATCACCTAATCGCCAGAGAGCTTATATTGTATATGTGTATAGAGAAAAGAGAGAGAGAGAGAGAGAGTGTAAAAAATATTAAAAAAAAAATCAATTTTAAATTCTGAGCTCACTTAAAATCACATAAAACTAATATCAGCTTCAGAACGCCGACGGCAGAAGCAGGAATTTTTCTCCTTAATTTTTTTGTTTTTAATCCTTTAAAATCCGTTAAAAATTTCTTAAAAAAGGTCGGAGAATCAGATTGTTTCTAACTCAAGAAAGGTGTTTGATATATTGATTTAGTTTGCCATTCAGAAGATTCAATTTGGTGAGTCTTCTGAGGATCATTTAACCAGAAATCCAAGAAACGAGTTATTTCGACCAAATAAAATCGATAAGTAAATTTTAAGAAGGGACTCATTCAACAGGGACATGCGATCGGTATGTCAAAAAACAACAGAGATCCCGAGTTACATGAGTCTTATGATCAATGCTCCTCGAGTTCTACGCCTATGAAGGATAGTAATTGAGCTCTCGGTCCGCTTAAGAAGTAACTGCACAAAACCATCCTCGAGGAGGAATTTTAAATCTTCTCCAGCATAGGAGTAGGTAGCACTTTTTGTCACAAAAGCTATCTGTCTTATACTACTCGAGTGATCTTCAAGTTAGCAACTTCTACAACGAGTTTCCATCAATATTTGCGCTCCTCACCATGCAGAAACGGGAGAGATACATTTTCAGACAGTGATCGTAAGTTTAAATAACATTTGGGACCATAAGAATGAGACTTAAATGTCATTTGTGTTCTTTAATGAAGATTGAAATGACGATGAACAATATTACTTTAACCTAGCGCATCAGATGGTGCCAACTGCAAGCTTTATAGTAGCTAGGAACCTGTTAAATAGTATTCCGCATCTATTGATTTTATATATTTTTCATAGTTAGATGGTTTTGTTCAGTTTACTTTTTTTTTTTGTTTGAATTTATTGCTATTCTTACCCAAACAAAATTATAAATTTATTTCCGACATGAGAGCTACAAAAGAAATTCCCTAATTACTAGTAACACAGAAATAAGCATCATAAAATCATAAACAAAGTAATAAAGCAATAAAGAAACGACATAGTGACGCATGAAGGAGTCCCTCTTTTCCCACCAAGAGCTGAAAGCCGAAATACGAGCGGACCAGCGAGCAATTGCACAATGTGTTTGATCAACACTTTATTAACTTGGTATATTGATTTCCTAATGACAAAACTTTATTACTTAATTAATAGTCCCGAACTAAGCTTCCTGCGTCACGAAACACAAACGCGTACACTCCGCGTTGTTGGTTGCGTTGAGCAAAGCAGAAAGTGTCGTCGTGTGCTTGAAATCCGAGTTAAACCAACGAAATATTAAATTAAACTAAAGTCGAAATGAAATTCTATCAACAGAATGATGTACCCGTGTTCGTGCTAGTTAAACGTTCATTTTACATACAGACTCTTTTCTTGTGTATGTATGTGCGTTAAAGACGTGTATGACACGTGTTAAACTTTCTGTTCTTTTTTAGTATTAAACGGTCGCCAAGTTTAGACGCCACACCAAGCTCTGGATGGGGATACAACTACTTGATCGAATGACTTTTTTCGGAGCGTAGACTATGTACTATTTGCACAAACGTATGGATACGCAAGCCCGTTCCCCATCGGTGTTTGTAAGAATGCTTTCTTGTGCGGCCTCGTGTGTGCGTGTTAATCCAATGTCAGACTATAAATTTGCTTGGCTTAAGCACATTACCGCCATAAGCGTTTATTTCAATATGTCAAAACATTTTCGGCGACACACAAAGCCATGCGTAGGGATTTACATATTCACAAAGTCAATATATACATACACATGTGTACATCTGCGTGTGCTGGTCCTTGGATATTTGTGCATAAAAATAAATGTTAGTCTCTTTGTTGGTCATCAGGCTTTTAATCGGGGTACTGGCTCAGTTTGGTACAGCTCCAAATTATCATTTAGTTGGAAATAATTTTAATCCAGGTTTAAATCTTAGGCTCGAAGAGCTCTTTGTTACTCTATTTAACTTAGGCGATTCGGAAAGTTCTAGATCGCTGCCGAGTGAAATTAATCTGACTCGATACATTTGTAGAAATTTAATTAATACGTCCGGAGGCAAGTAGTAAAAAAGGTAGCATTTCTATTTAATAGTTTACCAAGATCGTCTTCGAAATCAGTCGCACTTCTCTTGAGTCCGGCGTTAATTTTTCATTGCAGTTGGTGTGTTGCATTAATGTATAAAAGAATAAGAAATTTTGTGGTTGAATAATATGATTCAAAAACTACTTACACTTCAAAATGATTTTAACATTTATACAATAATATTGCATTCCAAGACGTAATTCGCAGATGGAAGCCGAATTTCGGATTATTGGTTTTTTTTTCATTTAGTGATGACGAGAAACTTTGCACACAAATCCGCCATAAATCTACTTGGAATACTCATAGCACAATAGGATCCAATCATTGCCTATATAAAATGACCAACCACTTTTATTATTCACACACAACACTTATAACTGAAATGCACTAACATTTCTCATAAAATTTACTAAATGCCAACGAAATAATGGCGCTTCCGCAGGAAATGTTAGCTAGTCGATGACGCAGTTTTTTCTCACTTAATAGTTGTCAGCAGAGTAATCTACTGTACGAGTTTTTATGTTTTTCACAAACATTTTTGCACACTTTCGTGTATTTAAAATAATATATGCTTTTACCTACATTCAAACAAATATAAGACAAATATTTATCTAAAATTATTTGATGTTGTTCTAAAGTTTCAGACGTATGTAAGTTGCAGCTGTGCATGCAGTGTTAAGGCAGTGCGTAGTCGATACAGTAGTTCAAAAAACTGTCATTATACATTCTTCCATTCTACGCTTTCTCCAAGTTTTCTATAATTTTCTCTAGTTGGAAGGAAATTAACGATTGTAGTGAAGCAAAGCGGTTTCCAATTAAGTAAGCTTACAACACAATATTAAATTTCATCCGTTCAGCTGAAAGAAAAAATTAACATCTTTTTGATGGCTTTAATTTATTAATTAAATAAAACCGGTATTTATTTCAGTTAACAATCAGTGCTCTCCCAACACTGACTGTGTGCGTGCATTATTAGAAACAAGAAAAAATTAGAAATTGTGGCAGCAATTAAGAAAAAATTGGAAATATGAGATTTAAACATTTTCTGGGGCTACATTTGGGCTCCTTGCTGGTTATGTTGCTGATAGCAAGTACACCACTGGTACGCGCTGAAGTGGAGCAGGACTTCGCTGATGAAGCTGATGAGGATGGCAAAGTTGAAGACGTGCAGGTAAGCCAAACTGTCATTGAAGTAATTAATTACTAAGTGCATACAAATGTGTACATATAGTTAGCAGTAAACGAAAAGAGGCCAATGCCGCCTTTGTTCTATTGCAATCAGGCACATGTGATGCGAACGCTGATAAAGACAGCAGCAGCGCTGTTTTCAACTTCCACACTATAACTGCCCTGCTACGCCCTTAGCAGTAAACCCCTGTCTTGCTTGTTAATTTCAACTTGCATATTTATACCACGTCATTGTTCAATGTATGTGCGGGTTGTTTGATTTACGCTTGCTCTCTTGTTAAAATTAGGTAGCGTAAAGCAAATTGTGATAGCATGTGCACATTTGTGGTTAAATAATGCGTTGAAAACGATATTTCAATTATTAAATTGCATTTATTCTCCATTGGCATACATAACCTCAACTGGGGTCAGGCGAAAACATGAAAGCTATTTCAAAACTTGTTTATTGGTAAAAATAAGGAAAATGGAATGTTTCCGAAATGACAAGGAATTTAATAATACTGAATTTGATTATGTCCAAAAGTTGTGTTCTTTATGAAATAATATTTGATAATTGAGCTCGCGCAATTTCTTTTTTATGTATATTATTTTGTTGCTAAACAGTTTATGCTGCCTTTTTGTAAATTTTACTTAAAAATTTAAATTTTTACTTAAAAAATGTTAATTGCCATGTAAGTTGCGTCAACTTCCAAACACTAGTAGTATTTTCCGCTCTGATATAATTTAATTCATACATGGCAAATTTATTGTTTTAATAAAATGTTTTGATGACGATTTTACACTAGTTCCGCTGAATACTTTGGAAAGTATAATACGTCGATTCACGGGTAATTATTTAAGCTTAAAAATAGTCAGCTGACGTAGTCTAAACAAATTATGATTATATGTAAATTAAAATGAAATCCCTTCTTACTTGCACTAATTAAACCTATATTTCTCTCCATCACCTAGGAGGATAACGAACTGGAGGAAATTGTCTACGAAAGTCCCGTTTATGATCAAAATAACTTTTACTTTGCTGATCATTTTGATGATATTGCCGAGTCTCGTAAGCGTTGGGTAAAATCACAAGCAAAAAAAGATGATATCGCTGAAGAAATTGCCAAGTATGACGGTATCTGGGACTGGGAGCCGCCACAACGCATTGTCTCAAAGAAAGACATTGGTCTCGTGCTCAAGTCGAAGGCCAAACATGCTGCTATCGCTTCAAAATTGAACAAACCATTTACATTTAAGGGAGACTCGCCATTAGTCGTACAGTATGAAGTAACTATGCAGGTAAATAATAGTCCAGCTCATAGCAGATATCAAATTGCAATAACATTTTGCAATTTAATTAAATTAGTATGCGCTTGCTTGGTATATGCTACGCACACCAAAATGCACTAATTTTTATTTTTTCTTATTGTCTTTCTTTTTTGCTCTAGGAGGGACAAGAATGTGGAGGCTCTTATATTAAATTACTCTCACATGGTGTACATACGGAAGACCTCACCAAGGTATTCGTTGTTTTTGAGACATAAAACGATTCAGGTTTAAACACTTTTTCGCTTCGATTTACAGTTCAACGATAAGACACCATACTCTATAATGTTTGGACCGGATAAATGCGGCAGCGACATTAAACTACATTTCATATTCCGTCATGTTAATCCAATTAATGGCAGTATTGAGGAGAAGCATTGCAAAAAACCAAAGTAAGTTTTGCCTAGAGAGGAGAAGAGGCACATTTTTAAAGCACCGCACCAAATGAACATACAAAATATTGAAGTTACAAATGCCTCTCACCATACATACTTTTGCTTTCAATACTATTAGTACCCTGGGTGTTTATTTAATGTTGATATGTATGTGTGTCGCTAATTACTACGTTGTATTGATTATTTTTGCCGCGCTTTATGTGCAGTTGTTCTGCCGTGCCTCGGTCGTTACACCTAATTGTTGCTTGCTTTAAACTTGTGCGCTCAATTAATTTGTTTATGTACAAATTGGTTGTCTTGGCGCAGAACTAACATCGATTTGAAGGCGAATTTAGTGCTCATATTATTACTTCAATTTAAATATTTTTATTTTTAATAACATTAATTTAGGGATCGCTTGGAGGAACCTTTCAAAGATAAATTGCCACATCTCTATCAATTAGTGTTGCGTCCCGATAATACCTTTGAAATTAGTGTTGATCATAAAGTTGTAAATCAAGGCTCACTTCTATCGGAATTCACGCCAGCCGTTAATCCGCCACGTGAAATTGACGACCCTGAGGATAAGAAGCCCAAAGATTGGGATGAACGCGAAAAGGTAGGCGTTTAGAAAGTAATTTCGAAACATGCACTTCAAATTGTCAATATTTTCCATTTCAGATACCAGACCCCACAGCTAAGAAACCGGAAGATTGGGATGATGATGCGCCACCACAAATACCGGATCCCACAGCAGTTATGCCTGATGGCTGGCTTGAGGATGAGGCTCAGATGATACCAGGTGAAATTAGATAAAGAAATGAAGAAAATAAAGTGCATCCTCATGAACATTTCCTCATATTTTTTTTGTTTTTTGTTTTTATAGATCCCTCTGCCAGTAAGCCTGACGATTGGGACACCGAAATTGATGGTGAATGGGAGGCGCCTTTGATTGATAATCCCATCTGTGAAAAAGCACCCGGTTGCGGCGAGTGGAAAGCTCCACTTATACCAAACAAGGAATACAAGGGTAAATGGCGTGCACCGCTCATTGACAATCCAAATTATCAAGGCAAATGGGCTGCGCGCAAAATACCCAATCCCGATTACTTTGAAGATCTTACGCCATTCAAGATGACACCCATTGTAAGTGCGAGAGAACAAACAGAGAATTCATTTATTTTCGCATATTCTTTCAACTCCATTTTATATCACTTCTACACTCGTACTTTTCTTTCGCTTAGTCTGCAGTGGGTCTTGAACTTTGGTCGATGTCTGAGAGCATTTTGTTTGACAATTTAATCATTGCTGACGACATTGAACTGGCTAGAGATTTCGCCGCCAAAACGTTTGACATCAAGCGTAAATACATCGATAAGGAATCGGTAAGTGCATTTCACAGACAAAGCTAATAATAACATAATATTATATTTGACATATAAATTTTATTATGTGGAATAATATTAAAAGCGTGAATATTTCTACCATCACTAATTATATACACTTGTTTTCTGAATTGTACAAAAAAAAAAAATAACAAAAAAAAAAAACTATGAAAGAAAACGCTTTGGCATCGTTTGATGAGGCGTATAAATTACAAGCCCGGCTGGTGGGCCTTGTATTTCGTATATTTACTCATTCCGGTGGGCTGCTACGTATTCTACTTATATGGTCGCGCTAAAGAGGTGTCGAAAAATGTTACATATACAAACTTGAAATGTGTGTAGTTGTAATCAATATTGTTGTATTAGTTATTGTACAATCCACGCTTCAGGAGAATTTTGCTTTAGTTATTAACGTTTTTATTTTATTTTTACTTAGTAAACAATATGCAGATTTGCTATATTTGCTACATTTATTTTTATTTTCTTGTTTCTTTTCTACTTATGTATCGCTTGTTGTCTTTGTTATCAAATGCATAAATTGCGTAGGAGACATTTTTCAATAAAATTGTAGCATTCTTCAATGAGAGCTCTTGGATTTTGCGCGTAGCTATTGTAATCGCTGGTGGCACACCTTTGTCGTTCACTTTGTATCGCTTGTTTACGAAATCCAGTTCGAAGGTAAATGGCATGCTTAAGCTCGGATGTCTAAGAATTGCTGATTTTTTTTTTTTTGTTTTTTAAACTTCAAACAAATTTTAATCAATTTTGATTTTACTTGCTGCAGGAGTCCAACGCTGAGGCCAAAAAAACCGATGCTGTGCAACCTGACGACGTCGATGCTACGGCCACAGCAGGTGGTGATGCTGACGCAGCCGCAGCCAGCAGCGGCAGCAACAATTCTACGCAAAAATCTAGTCCTAAAACTAAAAAGTCTGATTTAGATGTAAAAGACGACGAAGTGGAAGAGAAAGGCGCGGAGTCAGCTGCTGCTGCAGCAGCTGCTACCAATAGCGGCAAAGAGTCACAAGACGACGATGCCGAGGAGGCCACAACTGGGGTGAGTTTTGCGGTGGACAAAGCAATGAGAGTTTAAGAAAAATGCAATAATTTATGCTTGCAGGAGACTACAACGAAGTCCGTACGCAAACGACGCGTGCCAAAGGATCAGTCTTAGGATGGCGATCGTTGCACGCAATACAAAATAATTCCAAAAAAGAAGATATTTAAATAAATTTATAGTAGAATATATGTGCAGCTGCATTTTCCAGCAGACCGTTGTGAACGAGATAAGTTTGTGCTTAACAAGTCACTTGTTGTTGGTGGAGTTGTGAGCGAAACGAAATTTAATTCTTATTTTCTCATTCGTTTCGTTAGTTTATTTCCCCAAAATATTTTTCCCCCTAAAATACACGCAACAAACAGCAGTCATGCTACACACACACACAAACATACTATGCGTAATTTAAGAATGTTCCACTTCTTTTTTTTTTTAATTTATATACATACATGAATATTTGTAGTTCAATTGATGTGGAGTGAAGTGCTTTTTGTGCGTGAAATGCGTATGAGTAGGTGAAATCACATACATAAATCAAATATATGTATACTACAATGGGATAGTGGCCAGTTAATAAGAGGAAACGCATGAAATTAATTCAGAAAATAAAATTTTTTTTTTAGAAATGGAACATATTTTCCGTCAACTAATATTTCCAAATATTGTTCTCACTGCTCCAAAAAAAAAAGTATTAAAGCAATTGGTTGAATGTTGGATATTTTTGCATAGAAAGTTCCACATAAAGAGAATTCCAAAAACCAAAATAAAAACATTTTACAAAACTTGTATTTTCTTGTAGCAAAATAATTCGAGAAACTTGTATGTGAAAAGCAAAATCTCCAACAAACGTATATGAAACGAAAAATTTAGTCTAATGTTAGTCGAACTGTGGAAAAAGAAAAGAAACAATGAAACAAACAAGCATTACTTTAATTTAAAATGTAATTTGTATTAAATGCGTATTTAATTATAACGTTAATTAACGCAAACAATAATAAATTAATAAAAAATTATAAAAAAAAATCTTGCCTCATTTATTATTTAGTATATACAGTTTGTTCCAGACTTAAGGAAAATAATAATATTAAGCCTAATTTTTATTTTAGTTTCTCAAATAAATTATTTTGCTTTAATTCACAACTTTGATTCGTACTCACTGGCATACAAAGACTTCTTCATTACATAAATAAATGAATGAATACAGTGAGTTATTAAAACTGAATTCATTTAAAAATTCAATAATAAATTACGATATTTAAATAAATAAGCACTGCATTATTTCTACTGCTTTGTTACTTAAAACTTAACTCAAGTCAAGTGCTGAGCTAGGAAAATAAATTTCCCTTGTTTTCAAAACACCTGTGAACCCATTGTAAATACTTCTGCCGTTGGCAAAAGCATTCTTTTATGTCCTACGCGCCCACCTGAGGAGCAAGGTGTACCGCCTATATCAAAAATGCCAAGTTCTGCCACCGAGTTCCGTTGTGGAGCATTAGGTGGCAACAGCGCTGGCACACTATTGTTCGGTGGTGTTGCTGTTACATTCTCATTATTCTTTCTTGCTTTGCTTGCCGCTTTCTTGCGTTTAATTAAAACATTCTCCTCCTCTTCATTTGTGGTCGCACTATGATTCTTTTCATTATTGAGCCGACTGCTCGCACGTACCTTTTTCGACACCATACGCAAGCTACCTGTTAATCCTTTACCAGTGAGATTTATTAGTGTGCCATTCTCCAATAGTGTGCGCAGTTCTTTGGTGATCAAATTTTTGCGCTTTTGGTTTAACTCAATCTGATAGGTATCGCTAATGTGTTTCTTTAGTTTGTAGAGCGAGAAGCCTTTTCTATTATTCAATGCGAATAACGCTTCTTCTACCATTTTCAACGTTGTAGGCAATTTGTGTGTATTCAATCGAATGGAGAAATTTGGAGGCTCTATTAGCGTTGATGTAAACTTAGGTTTGCTCATTTTGAATGGATTCTTATTGGGGTAACTTTTGTAGTGCCTTCGTTTACTTTCCCAATTGTTTACTAAAACCAGTTGAAGGCTCAAATCAAAAGGGGAATGAATAATATAACGGAAAATAAAGACAACGCCAATTGCAAAGGTTTGAAGTGGTGTTTATTAATATAATTAGCGCTTTGCAAGCTATGAAGCGATTTTCGGCCGAGCTTCTCCTCCGCAAATATTCTAAGCCGACACGAACGGCTGTTGGATTCATTATGCTGCTTTATTTCATGTCAGGCATAAACTACTGACGGAAGACTGCAATTAAAAATATTAAAATCTATGATTTGCCCTTCCGAATAGCAATATGTAATGCTGAGAACTCGGCTATTGCGTGTAGTGTTTACTAAATGTGAAATACAGATTATCCAATTAGAGGAAGGAGTTTGGAGACAATAAATTACGATTAGAAACTAAATATATGAAGTATGAGTAGGCAATGAACTGGGTCTATCAGTAAAGATGAATACTTTACACGAACTACCCTAATACTAGTGTGCACTCTGCTGCTTTCATTATGCACTGCCTTATCGACTCTTTAACATTTCTAAACGGAAACGGCAGCCTCATTGTTTATTTCTTTATCGAAATTAAAAAGAAAATTGTGTATTTAAAAGTTTGTAAATATTTCGTTCCTATTTAGCAAATAATATAAATACAGTATGTGAAAAATGCTTAATAATAGGCGTATGGAGAGGTAGTAACAGGCGCTTAAGAGGCTCAGGGCGACTACAAATTTACACTTCTAAAAAGCACATTAAATCACAAGTAAATTTACAATAAAAAAGTGTTCATGCCCTTAATATCAGCACGGTGCCTTTTAAATATTAGAAATATATTTATCAAGAGAATATGAAATTCCATAAAATATAATAATTGAAAGAAGTTTTAATATCAGCAGTGATGAGCGTTCGGAAACGGATCAGCATACTTGGCAAATTTAAAAAGGTAATATTTAACATTCTCATTATATTAATATTTTTTTTTCATTGTTTAAATTAAACCAAATAAACAATATATGTTTGCTTGCATTTATTCATATGTACATACATAAATATACATACTATGTAAAATTTGTCAAAAAAAAATTTTTTTGACCGAGCTCCTCTTCCAATTTGTGGTGCTCATCTTGATAATTTTATAGAAATGCAAGAATCTGCAATTAATATTATTATAACTTTTCAATATGCGAAAATACATTTCACCGAGATATAAAGAAGAGAGAAGTTTGGAGCGGCTGGTTGAAGGTAAAAAATAATACTTAAAAAAAAAACGGTAAAGCATTCACCTCTCTTATTGAATCCTTGCAGTTTCGATTAACGTTGATGTCACGATTTTTGATTACAATTTAGCTACTATTTAAACTTTGAACCTACTGTTGGAATTCGATTCCAATTTACGTCATAGCGAAGCCGGATTCAAGAATTGCACTATGGTTATGTGGGACTACTTCCAATTTCATGTTATTGTGGCATCACGGTTAAACATTTTCTTAAGGTTGACCAATTCAAAGAGAATCCTCATGAAGAATTCCAACTGAGTCGTAGAAACAAATCGACAGTGACTCCTCTGATTACCTACCCCATTACTGGATCGTTGCGTTCGATGCCCCGAATCGGCATTGGTCATAACCAAGAATCATAGCAAAAACTGAACGCCTCGACACTCGAAAGTGTACCAAATTGGTTCATAATAAAATGACAGTGTTTAAACAATTAATGTAGCTGTCGTGCACGTGGGATTACCCTTCGTTTCCCACAATTTCGTGCAGCCAATCCTTATGTCCTTTTTGGCCTCGATTTCGTTTGGTCTTAAGCCTACAGCCATCGAGCGCACACGACAGCTTTTTCATCCGCGAATCCTGTTATTTAAAATCAGAAATAGAGTTATATTACTCTTCAAGTGAAAATATTCCCTAAAATAATGTAAAAAAATATTCTGAGAAAAGTGAGTTTTTTATTGGAACCTTTGGGCACGCTCGAGAGCCGTATGATTTCTGATATTTATTTGTATTTAGAAAAACATATTACTTTTGAAGAGTCTTGTTCTCAGGAAGACTCACAATAAACATATTCAAAAGGCTTCATAAAGGGCAACTTTGGGATTGCTATGGCCTAATATCATATATGTAAGAAAATTGATGTAAGTTGTTGACATTTATACTATTTTACATGGATATTTATTGTGCTCAATTGCATATGCCCAAATTTCTCATACTAACACTAAATGTCTGTCTTCTATCATATCCTTTTTAACCCACATACATACATATGTGTGTGGTATGTGCGTCCATATAAACCTTCTAAGCCATTTTAAATGTACAATCATTTAACTCCACTTAAGCTGAATGTTTAAATTTCCATACTGAACAAAGTTCAATTATGTCTACCAAAGATATTAACTGCGTAATTTAACACAGAAGTGGGTACAAATTCGTGTAATAAAACACAAATAGACATGTGTGCATTTGTATGTAAAACCAAATAAAATAAATAAGAATATTTAGCTGACTTCTAAATGTTCGTACGTCCGACGAGATTTTATCATCGTACAATTTTATTGCTACTCCACGTCTACTGTAAAAGTCAATACGTTCTCTATATGTACATACATATCTTTGTTCCCATGTGACGTTTGCCCCCAACCACCATATTAGTCAATGTACAATAAATGGAGAGGACTTTTACCCACTGCAAATTGCCATGTATGCGGGAGTGTGCGAACAGTTGTTTGTTATGTTTTATTTTATTTTTATTTTTAGATAAACATTTAAGGGTTCGCAATAGTCATAGAAAATTACTTTGCCTGCTGAATACATTGCCTTGTGTGCTTACTAATCAAATTTATAATAGAATTATTTTTTTTTTTTTTCAATAAAATAATAGACAAACTTTCTAAGATATTATGCAATTTCAGGTTCCTACGCTATTAGGGCGAAGCCTGAAAGGTCGCGAAAGGAATGAGTGACCACTTAAACCGGCTCTAATACAATGCGGAAGACATTCTGTGCATTGCGACAGAAGCTCTTGACCATATGTTCGCAAAGAATTGCTTTCACAATTTCATATCTTTTAAACAATTCGGCTTGTAATCCCATTTTTGTTGATTTTAAGGGGTTTTCTGCTTTTACTGCCTCTATTTGCAAACTTCATAGGTAAGTAAAAAGAAAAAAACCAATTGTATTTTAATTCTTCTTTCCTTTAATACTTGAAATACTTCTCTGCTATTAATTCTAGCTACACCAATTCAGAAGTGGAATATTAATTTTTTAAAACTTTACATAAAATTACTCAAGTAAAAGAAGAAATGGATATTTATTAGCAAACAAAAGAGGAAACAACTAACGCTTATATAAGTAAGTACAAATATAAATCATTACGAAATGTCTATAATATCTAGCCTATAACTTAAAATGGCTAACTCAGCAAATTTTAAATTCAAAGCAAACCAATGTAAAATAACACCGCACAATTTGTTTAAATTAATATATTATTTTTTATTCAATAAGATCCAATTTCGTACAGCAGCAACATTAACATAGACACCAGGATAATCCTTGTGAGCACATTCAAAGCCAAAAGAACAAATGCCCACCTGTACACCATTAGCCACGAGCGGACCACCAGAATCACCCTCACAAGAGTCTTGACCGTCCACCTGCACCCCAGCGCACAACATACGTGGCGTTATTTTGTTTTTATATCTATACAAATGGGAACACTCATTCAGTGGTATAGTATGCACTTGAAGAGCGAGCAAGATTTTTGATTGCCTGCCACCATATTGAGTTGAACCCCAACCCGCAATACTGACACGACTACCGGGCGTGGGACTGTGAGTTGCTAGCTGAATGAGCTGTGCTTGTAAACCGAGTGGTATTGCTTTGGTGAGGTAAATCAAACCGACATCATAATCAAAGCTGGGTGCATGATAATTCGGATGTTTTTTATAGCCGCTCGCTTGTATAACATTCATTGTGCTCTCCATATCTGTTTGTCCATATTGAATACTGTAATGATGTGAAATGTTTGTGAATTCAAAACAATGTGCCGCGGTCAATACAACTCTGCTGCCAATTATACTGCCACCACATTTTTGCACCCCCCTCACTTTCACTGCTACTATATACGGATATTCGGAGATTGTGGTTTTAACGCCGCCAACGATACGTGTTGACACAGCTGGAATTTTTTGAAGCGTAAAATCTTTTGCATGTGCTCCGAGAGTGATATGAAAAAAACAAATAGTCAGAGAAAGCAACCAAATTGAACTGAAATGTATTACACGGCTACGAAAATTGCTTCTTGACATCTTTCTACTCTCGCCTGCGGTCTTATGAACTCTGATAATACGAACTGGAACAATGTGGCCTCCAACCGAGCAATATTTTGTTCATACTTTTTATGATATTGTGGTCGTCTGCATTCATTTGATGGTTCATACTTTGTTGAGTTAAGAATTATAAAATTATTGAATTGTACCAACTTTATATACGCATTTTGTTCTCCAGCAATACGTGTTACCATATGTTTAAACACATGTACTGAATTGAACTTGGAATTGCTTGCATCGTGATTTAATTTTGCTTAAGCCCTTCAAAATCAATGATCATGTAAATTTTGGTTTTAGTCAACCCAAAAGTGGTCTCGAGAGAGTTTTAAATATATTTATTGAAAGTGAGTCTAAAAAATTGCTTCGTAATCTAAGTCGACCGATGCTTCCAAGCCGGTCAGAAGTTTAAGAATCGCTTAAATGATATTTACAACAGTCAAAAAGGACAAGGACTGTCACCCTTTCTGCAATCCTTTAAGCTAAATTGGGAGAATATTTCTGTGACTACAACATCACAAATTACAATCTCAGCTTGAGCAACCGGAACTCTAAAACCGTTTTTATTTGACGACATGCATCTGCACCAGTGAATTACAGTTAATATCGTTCTATCATCAGTTTATTTTTTTGAATAATAATGTAAAATTTTGCTTGTACAATCAGCCCTTCCAAACTGGCTCCATATTCATTTCGATCCAATTTCGAACTGCAGCCACATTACAATAAACCCCAGGATACTTCTTATGTCCACACTCAGCACCATTCGAGCATATCCCTACCTGAACACCACGCAAGACCAACGGCCCACCAGAATCGCCACTGCAAGAGTCTCTACCTTCAACATGCGCACCAGCACATATCATACGTGGAGTTATTCGATAAATGTTTCTATATCGTTTGGCACACTCTCTCGGTGTTAGGACATACAAGTAAACCGAAAGCAAATTTGTTGATCCACTACTGCCGTATTGAGTAGCACCCCAACCGGCAATGCTGACACGGCTGCCAGATATCGGTCTGTTAAGGGCCAACTTAATGATCTGGGCTTTTGGCCCGAGTGTTATATATTTAACGAGGAATATCAAAGCAACATCGTAGTCGAGAGTTTTCGGGGAGTAATTTGGATGCTTCATAAAACTTCGCACTGGTATTATATTCTTTGTATTTCCTAGGTTTGTCTGTCCATATTGAATGCTGTAATGACGCGGATTATTGTCATATCGGAAACAATGCGCTGCAGTCAATACAACTCTGTTGCTAATTATGCTGCCACCACAATACTGCCGATCCCTTATTTTTACTGCGACCAAGTAAGGATATTCATCGATGGAGGCGTTAACTCCACCAACAATTCGCGTTGCTAAAGCCAGTGTCTTCTGGGGGGTCTGATCTTTCTTGTGGGCTCCACCCGCGATGGGAACTGTACAGACAGCGACTGTCGTCAGCAAAATTGTACTGTGTCGCATTTCGCTTGAACGAAATTGCTTTTTGACAGCTTTATATACATGTTTTGGGTTTATTTGCTCTGGGGAGATTGGAAAGCACTTTTGCTTGCAGTAAAATTTAATTTAAAACTTTTTAGATGGCAATAGGAATTTTAAGTGTTCGAAGTATGTGTAAGCGACAAAAGTACGACAGATGACGACAGTAATAATGAAGAGACCAGCAAAGCAAAGTAGAACTTTTTCAATATGTGCTTTAGATTTTACTAGAATTTGGAAATTTGATATTTTTGAAATTTTTCACTAGAACAGCTTTCATGCCTAGATTAATTAATTAGCTTCAACTTGTTAATTTGACTTATTAAATTTCCTCCAACTATAAAATTATTATTAAAAACCCGAGTTCAGCGATATTTTCCAGTTCATCGCCGCTCCAAGGGAAATATGAATGAAACTGCCAAGTTCGAATTTAATATGACATTTATGCCTGACAAGGCTATGCCAAACGTCGTTTTACTTCTGAGCAGGCCATTTGTCATCATGGCAATGCACTTTGTAAACACAAACATTCCTTCACATATTAAATAATGTCTCGAGTTTTTTTCTCCTCAAATAAATGTATATCCACTGTATATATAAATAACACAAAGTATGTACATATGTATGTATTTCTCATAAATATGTATGTATATATGTATGTATATATAAAATATGTCAGAGTATATTGAATTATAACGAGCAGCATGTCAAGAATATTGAAAGAGTTTTTCTACACTGCATCAGTATGTCATAACGTCACTAACGGTATGTGAAACGAATCTGTAAAAGTATAAAAACAAAACATTGTAGCAAAACAGTTATAACAACACTTGAAATTATTATTTTATTTCTCTAGTGTCGAACAAATAGTTTCAGCAACAAAATAATCGGAAGAGCAGCACTTGGCTTCTGTTTGTACAACCCAATATTGGTGAAAAGTAACGGACATGTGTAATATATATACGAGTATACATATATATATATATATATACATCCAAAATTGTACTGTTGCATACTATATTAGGGCGTTCTCCATAAATAAATGTAATTGATTAGTGAGATTTTTTTTTCTACTTTATTTATTTAACTCAATTTAATTTATATTTCATTTATCCCTTTTACTTTAATTTGTTATACTTTTGGTTCAATTTTATTTTATTTTGCTTTATATTTTTATTTTAGTTTATTCTATTTTATTTTATCTTTCTTTCATTTTATATCTTTTTACTTTATTTTTTTCATTTCTATTTAATTTTATTTATTCTAATTTTATTTTATTTTATTTTATTTTATTTTATTTTATTTTATTTTATTTTATTTTATTTTATTTTATTTTATTTTATTTTGTTTGATTTTTGGATTGAATTTTATATTAATTTGTTTCTTTTAATTAGTCTTATTATGTTATGTTGAGTTAATTGCTAACCTAGTGCCTTTATATCGTCTCAATTTTATATTATTTTACTATATAACACTCCTCTTCAATTTTGTCCCTGGGACCACTGCGAATTCTTTGGTAAAATAAATTTGGCAAGGCAGCGATGAAGCAAATGTTATGCCTTAAACCACCAACTTCCTTCAAAGTTTCTCTCAGCTGGCCATTGATTGCAGTGCACAGTTGTATTTAATTTGTGTACACATACAACTGTATATAAAAGTATATGTTCCTCAGAGACAAACTTTACTATTTCCGTTCTATAGTGTAGAAATCTATACATATGTATGTATGTACATTTATGTATATATAAATATTTTAAGACCATCTCAGGCGATTTATTGCCTTCACATGTCGAATATTTTGTTACTGTTTGTGTTGTGTGTGTATGTAGATTTTTATTATTATTGTTTTAATATTTTTTTTTGGTTCGTAACATTTGTTGTTGTCACATCCGCAAGAGAAAAAAACGTTTAGTTTTACATATATTTGCCCATTGTAATGTCTTGAAGGACGAATTGCTCGCTTTTACTAATGTATCCACGTATGTACAATACATAAATATACTCGTATACAAATTTATTGCTACAAATACAATAAATACCGTAACCTATATTGAAATAAAATAAATATGTATAAATAATCATAAATGCTCACTTCTTCCCTAGTTTCTTCTTCTTCCTTTTAGCGCGTCCTTTTTACCATGTGCATCTGTGAAATTTGCGGAATTGTTATTTTTGCTGATATTACAAATGCGCCAGTAAACATGGCTATGAAAATGACAAATCGTTTGTTGACATTTTGCTTGGTGAATTTGCGCATATAGCTGTTGCCTTGTATGTATGTATGCTTGCGGTCATTTGTCTCAAAACTAATGTTGTGGCTCCATGGAGGATTCCCTTTGCAGCTCCCACTCCTGCTCTTATCAGTGCCTCTTGGTCTCTGATGTCGCTAGTGAATACACTTGACTGAATCGACTTTGGCTTTTGCTGCTGTTGACTAGTGACTGCTGACTTCACTACGCTCATCAGCCAACTGTTCGCTTGCTCTGAGATTAAAATATATTTGATGTATGAAAATCATTTAGCCAAGTGTAATGATGTTAAGAGTGAATTTGAAATGTGGCAACACCGACAAGCAACTACACTTGAATGCATCTACATATGTACATACATACGAACATGTCCACCTAAAGATTTCCTTGTCACATTTTTCAGTGACGGAAGCTCCCAGAAGAACTATTAAAATCTTCCACTTGCGGTGCTGCCACCTCGTAAAAAATTTCAATGTGGATATTTTAAAAAATTAAGAATCTTACAAAACGGATAAGCAACGGAAAGTTTGCCAACTGTTTACATATTTTTCCGTAAATATAGAATAAAAAAAAAGTCGTTTGAATTAAAAGTTAATAAAAAATTTAAAATTTTCTGTGTAAAAGTTGACATCGTTCCAGAATTTTACTCTACAAAATTTACGAATCATTAAAATATATTATTACGATATTGTATTATGGAAATTCAGTTAAAAAAAATGTTAATTTCAAGGTTGCCACCAAGTTTGAAAATCATGTAACGTGAGATAATAGGTATATTACCAATTTTTTAACCATTTAATAGAGTTGCCACTCTAAACAAATTATAAATAAAATAAATACGGCAGCGTACTTTAAATTTTACAAAACGAACACTATTTATACAAGAACAGTAATTTCTAGAGCCCTGCGAAAGGTTTCCCAAGGTTTTGCCTACTTTTCAACATGGCGATCGACTTAAGCACATGCAGGGTAGAATAGATACCAAGAGCTAAAGAGGGAAGCATGACGCATTTGTGGGCAAAAAAAGGAAAAGACCGGAATGCATCAGTACTTGGGAAACTGGACAAGGGTAAGGCTTGAGAATTATATAAAAAGATGTGACGAAACAGTAGGTCTCTAGACAGCTGCATTCTGCAATCTGGTGGCCGATGTCGAGAGCACATAAGATCCTTCCAAGCATATTGTGGGAGAGACTAAGGTTCGAAGTCAACAAATTGATTGAACTTTATCGTTGAGGTTTCAAGCCTGATAAATCAACCGTTGGCCAGATAATCAAAATGCACTAAATCTGCAAAAAGTCACGGAAAAAATGAGCGATACACACCACCTCTTCGTCGATTTTAAAGCAGACTTCGTCGACAGCTCGACCGTTTTGTACCCCGTTCCTTTATATGGCGGTGTTCGCTGACGCCAAGCCACACTAAAAGCTTGGTCAGGATCGGAAATGACCTATCCGACCCGTATACCAGACAAAGTAGTTCCTTATCGTTTGACTTAGAGGAGGTAGAACTTTCTGTAAATGTGCATAACCACAGGCAGAATGATATTTACTTCATTGGCCTCAAAGCCTCAAAGCGAAGCGTATTGGTCTGGTAGTGAACAGAGGCATGACGAAATATCTCCTGTCATCAACGTAACAGTCATTGTGCTCGCGACTCTGCTCCCACGGCACTGTTGACGGCCACAACTTTGAAGTAGTAGACAACTTTGTCTACACTGGAATCGGCAGTAACACCAAGAACAATTTTAGCCTTGGATCCAAGGAGAATCACTATTGCCATCAAGTGATACCTTGGACGGAATGTTCAAGTGAAAAGTAAGGTCCCCTTTTGTTGAACAAATACCAAACTCTACAAGTTGCTCAACATTTCCTTCCTGCTATATGGTGTGAAGGCGTGGGCGATGGTAACCTCTGATGAGTCGGCCTTGGAAGTCTTCGAGGAAAATATTTTGCAAACAATTTATGATTCTTTGCGCATTGTACCTGCTGGTGGAAGCAGGTTTCACTTAGTATTTCCAGTTAATATCTCTTATTGAAGTTAAAGCTGGAAAATACTTGCTGAGTACAAGCTGCTGGATCTCCCAGCTGCAACTAACGAAGGTACACAATCTCTTCTGAATTTGCTTTGACCACTACGATGTTCTTTAAACTGGAAACACAACAGAAGGTGCAGAAGTAGAGAGCTTTAGTGTGTGTGTGATTTTGGCAACACAAAGGAGCTGACATAGTCAAGGAGTCAAAGAGTTTAGTCTCTTCAACCTGATCTAACCTATAAATTCAAAATTTCCAAAGACAATTAAACTGTATAGAGATCAAATATCGCATTTTCTTTTCAATTGCATATTTTTCAATAAAAAATTAATACTAATTTACTGTATCGCCATAAATTGTTCACATAATAAGAACAAGAGTCATGCAACATCGCCCTTTAGTTTCTTTTTTTTATTTGTATGCTAAACTTATTTATTTAGCATTTAAAAAAAATAGTTTTAATAAAGAGTAGACAAAAACATAAATTCATGTTGTCATAATATTTACCAGCGTTTAAAAAATAAGCAATAATTTTTAGTTTTTATCAAACCAAGCAATTTCAATCGGCCATCAACTAATTTAGTTTAAGCGACAAAATAGTCAAATAAATAAAGCAATTACTTGTGACAATGCGAATGCAAGCAAAACATAAACTAAAAAGTGCACATAAATAACTCAAAACCACACACACACACACACACACACAAATGTAATATAAGTTGACAAGTGAAAAACTTTGTAAGCAAATAAATAAACGCCGGAATCCATCAAAACAATTTGATTCGCGTAAAAATAATACAACATTAAAGTGCGCGCTTCAAGGGAAAAATATGAAAAAATACACATTCGTACATACATACATATATATCTACATAT